TTACTACATGCATATGAATATAAATGCGGTACATTCACAGAAATAACATTTCTTACAATTTTTTGTCTGTCTGTATGTTTGTTCCGGCTAATCTCTGAAATAGCTAGACCTATTTTGACGGGACTTTTTTTGGCAGGTAGCTGATGTAATAAGGAGTAACTTAGGATACTTTTATTTTAGAAAGTTAAAGTTAAATTCAACGCAGACGAAGTCGCGGAAACAGCTAGTGTTAAATAAGCTGAAGAGGAAACGCCCCTACACATCCTATGTAGTTGTAGTTCACGTATGCATAAACGAAATATCTCCTTTGGAAAGTTTACACTCTATCCTGAGGAGATAAAAACGTTGCCTATAGTATATTTATATCGTTTGTCAAAACAATAACACAAGTTCTTTGATTGGGACTTCATTATTAGGTATTATATTAATTTATTTTTATCAAGTTAAGTTGCTTATGAGGCAGTAAAATCATAATAATAACTCTTAACTTAAAATTCATAGCAGTGACAATATTATCTAAGTGCACTAAGAATGAGGTCGCAGCGGTTTCTATGGTGATTATCTCATGCCTCTTAAAAAACACCTATTCAAAACAGCAACACACAAGTTTCTTGCTCTTTCTTCTTGTGCTGAATCTGCGTTCCTAACGAGTGGTAGAAACAAAAATATGACTATTTTAAAGTGCTTGTATTAAATTTATTTAAATAAAGATTATTTATATTTCTGTTCCTTTATTGTGCACAGAAATGTATTTACAAAAAAAAGAGCTTTACATAAATATGCTAAAGATGGCTTATCGCTTAAAGCAATCTCTTGAGATATTACCATGGTTACCAAGTATTTAGTATATAGAGGTACCACGACACATGAAGTTGGAATGTTCGTGGCGTAGATAGGCAATGTTTGCCACTTTTTGTTAAATGGACTGTTATCTTGCCTGTATCTAGTTACATAAAAAAAGAAAATTTGAAAGTTGGTACCCCTGTTCTAAATATTAATTTAAAACCGACGCTCTCCTCTTGGAAATTGTTCGTTGGCGTTAATTTTATCAATTTACAAATCAATTAGACATCGTTAATTCCAGGCGTCGCCGACTCCAGCGATGTCGTACGAAATTGGACTTTGGCGTTTCGTATCTAGTGTCATTTCCCTTTGGCGAATCTCATAAAGGTGAATAACTAATCGATTCCTCCAATTCCACTCTTCGTTCTCTTTGGATGTTTCAATTTCATATCGGATGAAATGAAAGCCTTTTTCAAGTTTCCTTGAAATGAAACAATCGAGAGTTTTATTGAATTGTCGCCGCCGATCGAGTGGTCGGAGCAGTTTTCTTAGTATTAAGAATGGACCGTGCGAAAAAGCTATTGCGGTTAATTTAATTGTAGTTAAGTAACAGGATTAAGTTGTATCTACTGCACATAGGACAGTACTTGAGGAAATGCCAATATGGCATGATAAAAGCAATGTTTCTTTATCGGTTACTGAAATATTTTTTAATTAAATTTTACTTTATTTGTTTCATACCTCACCTGCGCAACTAAATATATCTTTTATTCAGTTTTTTCAACATATTTTATTATTGCTTCGCTACTGTTAGTCGAAGCGTCATGTTCTATAGTCTATAGCCTGTCTCTTCTTTTTCACATCAAACATAACCTATATATTAATATTTTTGACGTACTGGCCACATGCGTTTAAAGTTCCTATATTATATTCTTTGTTATTAAGAATTTTAATGTTTTTGTAAACAGAGAATTTTAATCTATTAAAGATTTTTGTGACAATAAAAATTAGACCAGAACATAGCGACTAATATTACACAATCGATCGTTTTGTTTAGGTTTTCCTTCGTATAGGATGTAGTCTTAAAGGGTATATGATAAGAGCCTCTGCAATACGGGCTTTGAAACAGCAAGACACGATAATGCAATGGCTGACCAATCATCACAATGGTAACCTATATAAACTCGATAAATAAGCTATAAAAAACTAAAATATTTTGGAAATTCGAATGAGTTCCAGAAATTAGCGCATTCAACCAACGAACTAAACTCTTCAGATTTATAATATTTGTAATAAGAAATATTCCAAATGAGTTCTGTTATCGTAAAATAAAATAATTTATACTTATTTTCTAAAACAATGATATATATATATATATAATCTTGTAAATAATAAGACGTTATAACGTCAATGTTGTTATCTTGATTTTATAATTAATAATACTCTGTTCATTATAATTGTGGATGCTAATTAATTGTTCAGAATTAAATCTTTGTTTGTATCAAGGCAACTTGCTAGTGCGTTACTGTTCGAACTTACAAATATGATTGTTCTTTACTTTGACTTGGTGTTCGAACTTAGTCTTTAATTGAGGCGTAGAAGTCAGGTTCCAGGTTTGCCAAAGAGCGATGGCACGAAGTATGATAGGGGTAAGAGCGAGTGATTGAATTTCTGATACAAATCTTCAATACTAAACTGGTATAAGAAATGTGAGGCAAAAGGATAACTACGTGGTCTATGGGCGCTACCGTGGCAGACTGCTATTGTCAGGGTCGTGACTAGATATCGAAACTAGTTTGTAAAGTATATGTAATATGGACCAAAGTCGACTGAATTTAAATAAAGTAATAGACACCAAAACTTAAGAAGGATTGAGCGAGTTTCATTAGATGCATGAGTCCTACAACTGGAAAAAATCATCACCGGAATAACACAGGAATAAAACAATCACAGGAATAGTGATGGACAGCGTGACTGGTCTATGAAATGAGGTTAATAATAAATACATGACTTTAAAACTAATCTAACTTCATCTACATCTAACACTTTACACAAGCATCGCAAATTTTATCAAATAAAAATGTACACAGTATTTGTGTATAAAGCCAAAAGACCTACATACCATTGTGTCAGGGGTCGTGGATTTGATATTTCTACACATCAGTGTTGCTAAATTTGCTTTGTTTTCCCCGTATTTTCCCCCACAAACTCCTATTTAAGTTTGAAGAAAAATCCCTTCAATTAAGAAAGTGTCTTCGCATTGAACCTTTCCTAGAAAAATATGTTGTTCTTGTATTTTTGTTGTAATTTGATAACAATTCTGTTTTATTATTATTTTTTTGATAGGTTCGCACAATTTATCTTATTCCACCGTTGTTTGTTTTACAGGCTTGTGTTCTAGTTTTAGACCTACTAATACATGTTAAAAATCCCTACACCACAATTTTTTTTATCTACCAAACATTTGTCTTCGGCCAATTTCCCCCTATCACCACAATTTCCCCCAAATTTGCGAGAGAACCCTCAGTCCGCAAACATCACTACCGCAGACTAAACACGCAGTTTATAATATTACTGAGGAACTGTAGGTATCATACGACGTTTGAAATATTTTCTTCCAAAGTGGAAAATTTTCTCGACTTCATAAATAATCGAGGAAGCCAAGAATGAAAAAGGTTTTTTTAATGAATAAATTATGTATCGGCAGTAACGGATATACCTATAATAACGATAATTATAAACAAGAAATAAATACACCAAAATTAATTTATTCGATACTCAGGCTCGCGGAAATAATTAAAGAGCAAAAATACATATATTTAAGGGTAGACTTTGAATTTCGGAGGATTTTTAAAAATTTAAGGAAAAAATGTAATGATTTGAAATATACGAGCTCAATAGAGTGAACACAAAAAATAGTAAAATGCAATCTCTTGTGATTGCGTACACTAACTTTACCGTGCTGAAAAGCACGAGTCCGGATCGCGCGAGAAAGAATGTGTCGCGCAAAGGCACCTTTTAACTATTATGCATGGATGACATAATAAAGTACGTAAAGTAAGTAACTTAAATACTACGTAAACTGCGTAGGAAATCTGTTTATCATCTGACATTTATGCTATTGACATTGACTTTGACAGATTACTTTTTGTACGTAACAGAACCACTGATAATAAACAAAATTAACCGGAGAGACGACGGCAATCCTGCCGCTGCCACGTTGGATTCTAATATAACCAAATGTGATATTTCAAATAATGCTATTAATACGTCCAAATTTGACAATACCTCTGATTACATATAGAATAACAGTCGTGATTGCATAGGATAAACATTGGGACGACAAATGACTACTCCAGAGTTCGGATATAGACTGCATTTATGACTAAATATTGGTTGGTGGTCAATACATTAGAATAAAATAAAACTTAAACCAATATATACACGAATCTGGAGTTTGCCATTTGCTGTGGAGACTTTGGGTCTATGGAGACCAGAAACTAAATTGTTTGGACGTATATTTCAACGCTGCTCATCGAGATTAGTTGTAATTGTAACCCAAAAGCTGGTAGCTACTTTGACTACAGGGTTCAAAGAGGCAATACTGCCAGTATCTTGGATACACTAACTCCTTGTGCCGTGTTGGATTACATTGATAGTTTATTTACTGTCATCAAATGATATTGTTTGTAACAAATATTACATATAGCCTCTAAAAGTATATCATAGTATTAGGTACTTCGGAAAGTAATTTCGTTTTTTCCCAAAAGAGGATATAATTGTATTTTCCGAACCCAACTGCACACTTAAGTCGCATAATCATTATATGTTTTAAGAGCTGATATAACGAGGCTTGTGTCAAAAATTTCAATTAATTATTCGCAACACTTTTTACTTGGTGCCCTTTTAAATATGAAATGAAAAAAGTATTTTTTACTCTAGAAAACATATTAATGCTGTTCAAGCTAAAGAGAAATTAACTGCTGGTATAAAGAAGATATGTTAGCAGTACGTCGCTGCCTGATCTAGTTTGCAGAATTTCGGCAATTTTGATGTTTAAGATGCACCACTTTCTAGAAGATCGGTCAGAAAAAAAAAGAAACAACTTTCCGAACGACCCAATCCCAAAACCTGTGAAACTGAAACTAATATTACTTCTAATCTTTAAAGAAAACATATACCTCATTAATATGCAATTCTCCCAAGAAAACTTAGGTTTAAGTCTCGAAGACTATCTCCTCCGGCCTGGAGCAGGACGCATGCGCTCTTAGAAGATCAGCTGAGGTGGATTTGACGCAGTTATTCATATGTATGTCTGATGATGCGTTGGAATGGTGGGGCTCACGTCGTGGACGTTTCCAGCAGCGCCGACCGAAGTCTCCACACAGTGACCTGGTTTTGACATTAGATTTAATGTAATTGTTGTGCTTACACTTGTAATATTTCTGTCAATACTCGACACCCCTCTATTACCAAGTAGCCAGTACCTCTCCAGATAACATATAATTAAGTTCAGTGTAAAGTTAGTCCGCATTACGACTCCACGTCGAATGTATGCATTACTAATAATACATGTAGCACCCTATCAAATAAACTAACTGATGTACAATAAAGAGTACAATTATTTCACCGGTATACTCACTACCTATATACTACAATAAACAAATTGTCATCGTCACCTCTAGTGTACAGATATCCCAAAAAAATTTAAATGGCAAACAAATTGACGGTCCACCGTAAGTGGCAATCGCCACTTATATACATGATAGCATTATGAACATTATGTTATCATGGGAATGTTATATGAACCGCATATAACAGGGTGGGTACTGGTCTGCTGAGACACCGGCCTCAGACAACCTCATTTGTATAAGAAAATGTTAATTATAAGACCTGTGTATTTATTATTTATTCTGTCATGTCTATGATGCCAGTCCTACTTTCCAATTCCAAAAGACTAAGATGCCTCCACATCCTGTAATTTTATTGATTTATATCACTACTGCTTTCGGAATAAAATAGAACTAAATATCCGCCTTATTATCTCTGATCAACGCGACAGTTGACTGGTGGAGAATGCCATCAGGCATTAATTCCGCTATGAATACAATTTTGTGTGCAAAATAATAATAATCATCTTTATTTGTCTCATACAAAAACTAATACATACAGTAATAAAATTTAAAAGTAATGAAGAAGACAAAACGTCTACTACTTAGTAGGGCACTGCCCCTAGTCCACCCTCTCTACTATTTTGTAAAGAGTAAATAAATAATATAGAATACAACAACTTTCTCTCAGCTGAACGGGTTACCTTGTTTTTTATACTACGATGGTGGCAGTCAAGCATACGGCCCATTTGATGGTAAATTGCTTGTTTGCTATCACACCTGCTTATATATATATTTGTAGTTTACTGACTTGCAATTTGCCAACATTCCGCAGAGTATTTTTAAATTCAACGTGGCAGTTGTTGAGTCAAATTAATTCGAGAGGCGACCCTCTCGAATTAATTTCGTTTGTTCACAGTAGAAATACAAATAAGGTATGCAGAATACCTAATAGTCAACCATAGTCACTGTTTTAATCATACACAATAGGACAATAAAAAGTCAATACAGATAAAGCCGATCCATTAATAATAATTGTAATATCTCAGGACAATTAACACGGTGTTATCTAGTCCCAAGATAAGCAGAGCTTGTATAATGGCTATTAGACAACTGAAGCTGATATAAATATGTACTAAATAGATATACATTTTATTAATAAATATATAACAATAAATAGAAAGACATAATACATAGAAAGACGCTCGTGATATAAGCTACCTGGCCCAATACAAACATTTGTATTCATGAGTATGATTTTTTGTATCGGTCTGGGTGTTCTCTATGTATATTATATATATGTTAAAAAAATATATAAAAATATTTATATCAATTATCCAGTACGCATAATATAAGCTCCGCTTGTCTTGGGACTATATGATTTTGATATTATTATATACCAGTTATATAAAGAAAAAACATGTCTATGTCGATATACAGGCTTTAATCTTTATGGGGAAAAGGTAGTGTTCTTATCATCCAATGCGGGGTAATGAAGGGATCCCATCGAGGATTATATTCGTTCATGCTCCATTTAATCAAATCGGATAAGGAAGTAAGTACAGATCAATGATAGGAATGGACGGTAGACGGGCCTTGAGTAATTCATAGTAAAGAATTCTTTGTATAAGTTATATTGCGAATGTAATTGTTACTGTCTATATAAATATACATATAAATAAATATAGACATATATATATCTTATTAATTTTATAAAGGCGAAAGTTAGTAAATAAGTAAGTTCATCAAGTAAGTTCATCAAAATCCGTTTTGTAGTTTTTGCGTGAAAGAGGAACAAACATGGATGGATGTTTGTTACTCTGTTAAATTTTACAGTAACATAGCTTATACTTCAGAATAACATATAAGATATAAATTTCACGCGAGTGGAATCGCGTGCACATTAGTATATATATTCACCTGATGTTAGATAAGCGATTACCGCCGCAATATCAAGGGAATTGCAAGTACATTACCGGCTTTTTAAGAAGGGATATGCTCTTTTTTAATATTTCAATATCATATCGGTTCGAAAGTAAGTACAAAAGTATTAAATATTGCTGATAGATGTTTTTATAATATGTTTGAGAGGAGCAAAAAGTTTTAAATAGAGGACCGCCATTCATACAGATGATCAGGTTGGTATTTTAGTTTCTGGCAGGTGGTACGATGATGAAATTCTGCAGCTGGTAATAATCCGAACAATTCCTCAGAACACTCTCCGTGATATGTGTATATTTTATTGTTTTCTTTATGAAGAAGATATCTATGTATATTATATTGATTTACTAGGAACCTATTGATGCTCGTATATTTTTATTTATAATTGTGAATCTGAAAAAAGTTCTCTTAGAAGTAAAGTGAAAAACTGAAAATATTTTTTTACCTTTTCTGTTATAAACTGCTCGCGAATGATTTAGTAAATCTCTGCTTAGTTTAACACTGTTTTTAGGTTAGAACAATTGACAGCATATATATATAATTATTAAGAATCACGGGATCTTATCCCTGTTATATTTTTATTGAGTTCCCGATATTTCGACAGTGTTTCAACCGCCATGATCACGGGTAAACTGACCCATGGTCATAACGGTTGGGACACTGCCTGTTTTACGTGAAGATTCCGTAATTTTGACTAATAATACGTATAAATAATGACCGCGTCAAATTTAAAACAGGACGTTTTAGGATTACATATATATTTATTCTACTCCATCTAAGGTCTTTGGACAATAAATACGTGGAGTGGAACGGATCAATGCAAAAGATATTTACCACAAAAAGTTATAGTTACTTTAGGTTAATTAAAGGTGACTTTAAACATTCAGGTAACTTGCCACTAAATTCGGTGTCACGGGAGTTTTACACATAAAGTTTACGGGGGCATCTAAATCTGGGCATGATTGGGTTAGTCAAAGTTAATCACCTGATTAATTGAAAGACGGCGTATTTTAAGGCATTTTCCAATATCCAGATATTCGAGATACTATTATAGTCATTGGGTCGAGTTGCTTTGTTCCCAGTTATATAACGCTCTACAAGATAAAGATATTCAGTTAGTAAGATTTACGATTAAGCTGTTTGAGTTTTGGAAAATAACATTAAATATATTATACAATATCAAGTATTTTTATCATATTGGTTGTTATTTTGACAAATGGACTTCAATTTCATTACTTAATGGATTTTTATTACTTCGTTTAATTCTCCTTCAATCGATCCCTGTCCAACTGAAACGGGGATTATGATGGCCTGAGTCGAGGCTCGACACCGAGCGGTGCCGTCAGACTAAAATCGTATCCTTCAGTCAGAAATTGGCCTTCCGCTCCCTCATAAGTTTTTCCGTGGGTTTGGAGTATCATTTGTACTCAGTCCCATCATTCAGGAAGACCGTAAAGAAGCTGTAAAGACCAGCTACGGCCAATACCACGTCAGAAAAAATGCAAATGATAGGGAATTTAAATTAAAACAAATCCATTAAATAATTATATTAATATAAAAGTTATATATTAAAACCGTATATTTTAAAATCACAACAGGTTTTTATTTGTATCTGATACTATATTACATATAATAAAAATTCCTAAGAATGTAGATGTAGTAGGAAAACGGAGAAGTAAAAAATATATTATCCGATTTAAGGCATTGGCAACTTTTAAACTAAATTGAATCTTATCTAGTTATTGGTTAGAGATAGAAATAGAAAAAACGTTATTCAACTAAATATAATATAAGCTCTTTAGAACAGCATTTGTTATTCTGTCACTCATTTGGAAAGTAGATTCATCACTACTTTAACAAGAAACTTTCCCATTTCTTTTTTAAATAAATGTTATTTAAATTTACATTTATATGATTTTGTGTGAATACAAACTACCATATAATATCAATTTACTTCAATTAGCTGTAACAGATGTCGAAACTATATGTATATATCAATATCTATGTATTGATGATATTACTAATCTATACATCTAGACATATAAATAAAATTGGATTGTCTGTTTGTAATATTGAAATAACCGTTTTTTACTAAATGCATATGAATATAAATACGGTACATACACCAAAATAACATTTTTTACAATTTTTGTCTGTCTGTTTGTTCCGGCCAATCTCTGAAATGGCTGGGCCGATTTGGATGGAACATTTTTTGGCAGGTAGCTGATGTTATAAGGAGTAATTTGGCTATTTTTATTTTAGAAAAATTAAGTTAAATTACACGCGGACGAAGTCTCGGGAACAGCTAGTATATAATATATTACTTTCATACCGCTTGATATCAAGATATTGGTTTGGAGTCCGATATATAGATATTGTAACTATATTTGACATTTGCTCAATAACTTTTATTACATAAAATGTTTTTGTGTTTGAACTAATGCTGGCTAATGGACGTTTAATTGCTTAATAATATAATATTATATTACGCAATGCTATCAAATTATAAGCAATTATATATAACAGAGGTCCTCTGGTCGATATTCGACCATATAATTAATTTTAGGATCCTATTGTCAAAAACTTGCTTCACTTAATAATATATAGATTACTTTGTTAACATCAGAGAAACAACCTCAATTAACCATATTGATCTTATTTGACACGACGTTTTGTTATCAATCGTGTAATATAATGATAGTGGCTGTAATGTTTTTTTTTATTTATAGTAATTTATGCATAATTTAAAAAAATAAAATAATCTCTTTGCAGTTCGTCTCCATACAAACTATGAGTGTGCGAAATTTCATACTCCTTCGCTCACCAATTTTACATAAAAAGGGGTACATACAAAGTTTCTGCTTCACGTATTAATATTAAGATAATAGTAAGCAATTATTTTATTGCCTATTTGAAAGAATTACATCTCATAGTGCTGTTCATTGCTGTTATTAACCAGGTAATAAAATATCAATTCTTTAGGGCAGGGTAACTCTGGAAACTAAAATATTTTAATCTACTAGTGAGCTTAAAAATTAAAATGTTTTAGTTTCCAGAACGTTTGAATATTGTTATTATTTAGTTACATTTATATTATATTTAATTTTAAACTTTCGTGTTTAATATACATTATTTAAATTATTAACCGGGTCTTAACACGAATAATTTTATGGCAAATAAAGGTATTTACCTCTCTCGACGTTTCGACTAGGTTGCACTAGCCGTGTCAGCTCGTGAACACGGCTAGTGCAACCTAGTCGTTATAAATATTATTGTATTTAAATTGAATTAAGTGATGATAAATAAAATAAAAATACATAATAAAATAAATATCATATTGAAACGAAAGTCTCACCGGCAGCACGACCCCAATGTTTTCCTGAAGGCAGCCCTGAAGTCCCTGTTGAAGTAGGCGTAAATTAGAGGGTTAAGGGCTGAATTGAAGTACCCCACCCAGAAAACACCGGCCACTACCGGCGGGGGGGAGGGACACGCTTCCCCGCATAGTGCTGTGATAATGTACCTAGAAAGAAAAAAATATTTGTAGACAACATTTTTTTAACGGACTGCTCTAGGCCGCAGCTGGCCTTTACAGCTTCACCAAACGATAGCAGTGAAGCTGTAAATGCCAGCTGCGGCAAACAGCATTAGAGTAGTGCGATTTTGTTCACTAAATTTAAAATAAGAAGTAGGTATCTCACTTCCGTTAGATTTTGGAGATCTGTAGTAGGTTTCGATCTAGGTCAGACTCCAGACTCTCACAAGGAATAACTTGGAAGTTTAAATATATATTTTTTGATTAAAAAGTTTCCTTGTGAGAAGTAAAATAAAGATTATTATTATTATTAACCAACGTTATTACAGTCTATGAATATATATTTCGAAAAAATAAAAAATTTAAGTATTAATTTTTTCGTTTTTCGTTCGGTGAAGCTGTAAATGCCAGCTGCGGCAAACAGCATTAGAGAAGTGTGATTTTGTTCACTAAATTTAAAATAAGAAGTAGGTACTTTCTATTTCTATTTTGGAGATCTGTAATATAGGTTTCGACCTAGGTCAGATTCCAGACTCTCACAAGGAGTAACTTGTAAGTTTAAATATATATTTTTTTATTTAAAAGTTTCCTTGTGAGAAATAAATAAAGATTATTATATAGCTAAATTACTGTAAAGTTTCATCCAAATCCATTCAGTAGATTTTGCGTGAAAGAGTAACAAACATCCATTACAAACTTTTTCATTTATATTATTTATATATATATATATATATATTAATAATTAAATAATTTAGCATTGAATAGAATCAGAAATCTATATCTTACACTATTAATACAATACTGAATTAAGTCAAACAATAAAAATATTGAAACTAGACTTTAATATTCAATCATAGAGTTGAATTTCTATTAATTAGAATTTTGGACTTAAAGCAATATTACAGAAAGCATATGGTATAATTGTATACTGACCATAAGAAAAATGGCAGCCAACACGCCAGGAAAGCTGACATGATGATCCCCAGAGTCCTGGCTGCTTTTCTCTCCCTTTTCATCTTACTGCTGGCCATCGGCTGCATCTGTATGCTCTGTCGTTCTCTCATTACCTCCCCCATGGAAATGCCATTGATTTGAAGGTGTTTATCTAGCAACAAGGCCGCTACCTTACTCCTGCAATGATAAACACATGTTAATACTAGCTTAACCCGCGTAACCTCGTCTGCATCATACTTATGTACTTGACATTTATTTTTGACGACCTCGGTGGTCTAGTGGTTTAGCACACCGCCTTACTTCCGATGGTTACGGGTTCGATTCCTCGCCCGGCAAAAACATTTGTATTCATGAGTATGATTATCTGTAACAGTCTGAGTGTTTTCTATGTATAATATGTATGTATTTACGAAAAAAAATATCTGTGTATTTGTATCAGTTGGGTATTAGATACCCATAACACAAGCGTCAGCTAGCTTAACTTGAGTCTAGATGGTGCCGTGTGAATTGTTCTGAGATTGCTATTTATCATTATATTATTATGAAGGATCATTAGAATATTCATGATGAAGGACTACTGGCCGAAGGGGCCTTATATATTTTAGTCTATAAGGTATGTGTTATTCTGATGTATAAGCTATATTACTGTAAAGTTTCATGAAAATCCGTTCAGTAGTTTTACGTAAAAGAGTAACAAATATCCGTCCATCCATCCACATTCACTAATGCGTTTATAATATTAGTAAGATCTTCATACACGCTTGTTGTTAAGTAATATTCTTGTAACACAATGTTTAATCATTTTTTTAAACTACCCATTTGTAAGTTGTGGTCACTCTGACTCTGGGAGGATTAACTATATCTGGGACCCTGGGCAAAGATAATGTATAATAATAACAGTAATAACCTACGACAATTTACACAGCGCCATCTAGTCCCTAGATAAGCAGAGCTAGTATTACGAGTACTGGACAACTGATAGAAATAACTATATATATAATTACATAGAAAACAAATAGACCAATACATACAATCATACTTATGAATACAAGTTTGTATCGTGCGAGGAATCGAATCACTACATATAAATTAATTAAAATAATAAAAATAAGGGTTTGTCGGATAGAATGGTGAAAATTTAGGATGTATGTATTTTTATATGCAACATTATATAAAAGATATCCAATAAATAAAAAAAAATGTTAGTAGTGGAGAACCCTTATCACTTAGGGGTATGAAGAATAGATACTAGCCGATTCTCAGACCTACTGACTACTGAGATAACTCTGATTAAATAAATAAATTACTCGATGATAGGGTAAAACCTTCACAGTGGTTATTCAACCCTCTTATGAAATATTTCGAGACTAGTACCAATAATAGATTGTTATTTTAGAAACACTTTGATGTACAACATTCTTTGTATGGTATTGGCCTTTGACAATATTTATAAATATAACTTCCGTAAAATGTTTCCTGTATAAATAGCACTGAATAAAACCATTAAAAAGTTGTTAATTGCTTTGTGCATACGAAGTCACAGATATAAGCTAGTATGTCATACACAATGTATGACTAGTTTATCCTAGACATATCTAAGATAATGTGGACTACACACAACTATGTATAAATATATTCACTTATACATGTTACATGTAACTAAGATACTTAATTTTGATTATAAAACTAAACTATACAAACTGGATTATATTGCAGTTCTAAATGAGCAATCCAAAAGTATAATTAATAATATAATTTGTTAAATCATATTTATTGATTACTCACTAAACAATTACTTTAATGGCAAATTTAAATTAAGAATTTTTACAAATTTAGGAATTTTCATTTAATGTTAGACATAAGCTATAACCTATATAAACATAAAATGTAAAATGTAAATAACTGGTTATAAAAAATAGAATTTGCTCTTTGCTAGTTATTCTCTATTGAAGACGAAAGGTAAAAAAATAATTACAAAAAACTTGACGATTAAAAATGAAAAGAATTATAAAGTAACAAAAGAAAATAACCAATTCTTTTTAAAGTAACTTTTTTTAATTTAACTGAAATTCAAACAAGCTGATGACTCATCTGACGGTAAGTAATGCAATACTAGCAAATACAATTCAAAAAATAAATTCTGTTTAAATAATAATTTTTCAATAAAATTGGACCTAATATGCCTAATAATACCCTATAGTGCGTTGTGATTTCTATGTTAATTATCGCATGCCTAATCCTTGTTAATTTAAATCTAATTAGAACAAGATTTATTTAAAAGAGCAACATAAGTCTGGCTCATTCGTCTTGTGATGAGTCTGCATTCCGAAAGAGCGGTAGAATAAAAAATTGACCATTTAAAAGTGCTACATTAAGTCTATTTGAATAAATATTATTTCTATTTCTATATTTCCTAGTCATATCTTATCTTCTAACCGAGATATAGCTTACAAATAAAATTCCTTAGCAGCAAAAACGGAGAACTAAAATCTATCGCTGAAGTGTTTTGAAGTCGATCAACAAACACCTTATCTGTATTTATTAGATATTCAGTTAATTCAATTAACAATAAGAAAACTCATCAGCACAAAGTTTCAAGAAGTGATTTAAGTTAATCAAGCTGAGCTGTGGCTGAGTGTGATGAAATTTCCACAAGGCACCCAAGTTTTATCGCGACGTTAACAAAATGATAACAAAAACAAGTAACTTGTAGATGATACTGCATAATATTTGCGCTTGAAGCGTAATTTTAATGCTGAATTTACACGCTTGAATTGAGGAAAGCCGCGAATTGTGGTTATACAATAAGTTACCGAAATAACTTAAATTATTAAATAAATTAAGCTGTTTCTTAAAGAGTACTTATAAATTACAAATAAATATATATTTTGTCGGGAACTCTATGTGACAGGATATGATATTGTAACTACAGATTATAGTGGCGACTACAGAAACCAAAGTGGCGGAAAATACTACTAACTGCTATAAAATTGATAATCTGTTACTAACATAATTAACTAAACGTATGTAACTTTAACTGTTAAACTTGCTTTGAATGCCACGATACAGGCATAGCTATGGAGTCATAAATAAAATGTTACTTAAGTTAAGTTTTCCGAAAAAAAAAACAGTTTCCTAAATAAATTATGAAAAAGAAATTTTACGTAACCATAGATTATAAAAAAAATATATAGAGTTATATTATTTAAAAAACGCAAATAAAGTTGCATATAATATCTGGGATTACATAAACAAAAATAACCAAAATACAATACTGGTTAGACTAAAACTTGAACATACTGGAATATGGCCAAATACAGTGTCGCACATTTGTGCACACGCTCGCTGTGGTTTGGCAATCGTGTAATTCCAGCATCACGGTACCACCACACTTTGCATTCACCGCGTACACTTTCAGTCGGTTTATTGTGCCTACGTGAAAAGTATATATTATACAGAGGCCTCTACTGATAATTCTATATATCTTCTATATAATAATATATAAAAATGAATTGCTGTTCGCTAGTTTCGCTAAAACTCGAGAACGACTGAACCGATTTGGCTAATTTTAGTTTAGTAGTTTTAGTGTAAATTCGATATATATGTATACTACAAGATGATGTATATAACTATACTAATATAATAAAGCTGAAGAGTTTGTGTGTTTGTGCGCTAATCTCAGAAAATACTGGTTCGAAATGAAAAGTTCATTTGTCGAGGATGGTATTAAGCTATACAACATTACGCTACGACTAATAGAAGTGAATCATCAGTGAAAAATATTCCAAAATGGGGAAATCATTCATATTTGAGGGCTTCCTTGCATGCTGCGCGAACGATATAGTTAAAGTAGTTTAGTTTTATCTACTTTAACTATGAAGAAGATTATTTAGAAGTCTAAGAATTTTGTAATTCCAACAGTACAAAATACGAAATGTTTTAATTGTAAAGCATATTACTTAAATCCTGCACCTTTCTAATCTTATATACCTATATGTAATTCTCGTGTCGTAATGTTAGTTACATACTCCTCTGAAACTTGCTCTGCTTGAAATTTTATATGCATATTCAGTAGGTCTGAGAATCGGTTAGTATCTATTTTTTATACCCCTAAGTGATAAGAGTTATCCGCCGCTAACATACATTTTTTTATTTGTTTATAATGTGACATTAAAAAGTACATACAACCCCAAGTTTTAACCCCTCTACCCCAATCAACCAAATCAAATCAACCCCATTTTTTGTAACAGCGATTTTAATTTATATAACAAAACATTTGCGGCGTCAGCTAGTTTATTATAAAGATACATATGTACACATAAGATATGAAACTTTATTAGGTTTATTATAAATTTATATACATATTATTATATTACACATAAGATATGAAACTGATATATAAATTGCTATTTAAAAAAAACGATAAATATACGGCCAATGCAACGGGAAATAAATAGTTAAATACAAAACATCTCTGTTTTAAGTACCGAGTGAAATTAAATTAAATTTCTATCGTGGCTGTCCATTTTAATCTGGGAAATATTCGAATCTCGTACAACTGCGATAAAGCCAATAATAAGTACAAGATTCTATTTCTGTAGGACAAATTGGAAAGCTCATGAATTTAGACCCAATGTTGTTAACAGGAGTTAGTTGAAAAGCTAGGTATAACGTTAGATTTTGTTAGATTAAACACTATTGTATGGAATCAGTTCATGATAGGTATGTAATTTAGTTTCAGATTTGAACTCTGAACCTCATTAGGCCATACATACCCCACGCTTATATATGAAATTTCAACTTTCAAATATAAAAAAAAAAATCATGTTAACATGTTTCGCCGCTTATGAACGTCAATTTTTTTATATTATAATTTGTTTAAGTTTTATTTTATTTGTGTATGGATAAAACGAAAAAGACTAGGTATACGGAGAAAATATATCTCAATACTTTCTGAATATATTTTCTTCGCATACCTAATATTTTTCATTTTACAAATAAAATAAAACTACAACATATTCCTACCGTCTAGTTCACTATATAGATCCAATTGAGAAGAACTAGCATGAAACTCAATTGAATTGCTTTTTTTTTAAAGCCTGGTTATTTAAAATGTCTATTTAATTAAAATCCCGTGCATGAACAACTATTGCCATTATTATTATATTATTTAAAGTAAATACCAAGATAGTATTTACAAATGTGAAGAGAATAGATGATGACATACATTTTGCTCAATAACTATCAGTTATTTCAGTTTCTCCTGTTTAATATTCAGAGGTTAATTAACGGTTCACTCAAAGTACGCTATTAATGCAAACGAGTGACGGACAAAAGGCCCTTCGACTAATCTTATGTAAATTTTCATCTTCCCGATTTTCTTCACCTTAATGAGACGTATAAAAGGAGTGGTCCCAAGGGTGTGCCCTGTGGGACGACTTTCACTTTTCGCTTTACTAATTAATACTTTATGTAAATTACTTTAATATTTTTGTTCTTTCAGAAGTATTTTAGTAATTTATTGCCTAGATTAGATTAACTATCTTATTATTGACTATTGACAATCCAAAATTGAAACTACGCAACGTAGTCATAGGATCTTCTTTTAAATAAAATTCAAGAGGTATATGTACTACAGTAGTAGTAGTAGTAGTAGTACAGTAGTAGTAGTATATAAGAATACAATACCTTGTTATTATAAACAGTATTAAAGTTTGTCAATAAATTATTAGAAGGTTAACACCAAACCAGAAACTTCATTTATTGCTTTGGTCCAATACTATTAACATCTCCAACGACTTGTTTGCTTTACCTCCTATCATTTACAACTTTAAATGCTATAAACTTTCAATCAATTCATGAAACAACAGAAGCCCATTAGCATTCTGGGCGAAGTTCCAAACCACTGTTTGTGACTACCTTTAGTTTTGTGTATTGATATTCTAAACAAACTAAAATGTTGACCCTCCTGCAATCAGCTTGTGATCCCCAGATTCTATAGAGCTTTGGGGATTATTTTAATTGCTAATGAATATGGAAACCTTTCTAATTTAGTTCTTGCAAGGATATTAGGATAAGATATACATATACATAAAATAGATTCATGATTTCTTAATCCTCACGAATGGCATGAGGAGTTTCGTGTATCACATGACAACGTGATGTCCAAAGTACCGTTCTAGTATTTCGGACATGGTTACCACTTACTGTCAAGTTACAGCCCAGCTTGTTTGCTATTCGAGTTATATAAAAACCTCTTTTTTGCTATTTATTGCATCTGGCTACAATTCGTACCAACATTATGTAAACCGTATGCTTGTTTGCCACCATACGAGTATAAAAAAAAAACTACTTTACTTGACAACTTTAGAAAGCAGTTGAAACTAAATAGACTGGACGAAAATTCAAATCTTCTCTTGAAGAATTTTTCAAATACACTTTTATAACTTTATAATGCCCTATTAACTTGTCATTTATATAATGTTGCATGGCATAACTTGTTTTCCGCCTATTGTAAGTGGCATATTGGGCAAAACAAACCCATTACCAAAAAGAAGAACATAAAGACATAAATAAAGTAAATTTAAAACTTCACGGAAATACATAACTATAATTACCATATTATAATTATTGTTGCTATAAAAGTCTGGACGAGTTAGTTGATTTAAATTGAATTTTATTAAATAAAAATGCAATGTCTCTCTTAATTTTAATTTTGTCATATTTTTTATTATGTTTTACCGGCATGGCATATATAGGCTTCCAGTTATGTTTTATTTTTATATATGTAGATCGCTATACCTCATTGCATTGAAGATCGTATCATAAGGAAGGTGTTACACATGAATGCGGATGGTTATAAGGGCAGAGGAACACCGAAAATGAGATGGATGGACTGTGTGAAAGATGATATGGTAAGAATGGGAGTAAATAACAAGATGACTGCGAACAGAGATGAATGGAAGGGAAAAACATATTACGCCGACCACAAATATTTATTTGCTAAGCTCGTCCTTATCCCATTTGGGATAAGGACGAAGCAGATAATGATATATTGCTATACCGAGGTATCCCAAACTTTATACATATTTTCTTGACAACTTTGTTTTTAAAATTAAAAGACCTTATTACATAGAAATTGCTTTTTAATATAGATTAAAACAAAAAACGCAAATATATAGCTATATAGAATTCATCAAATAGTAAAAAGGTGGATTAAACCCGACATTTCTGAAGCTAATTATAAAATTTCTGATAACTTTAATATTTATTAGAAATTTAATAGCTACTTTTAGAAAATATTTAGATAATCATGGTTAATAAATATTTCAGATAAAACTGTTTTACAGAGAAGACGTAATAAGAAATGGCGAATTATATAATTTATACAAGAATGTATTAGAGTAAAGGATTTTAAATAATAAGTATCTTAAAATATATATAAATTTCTCGAATCACAATTTCAGTTAACATACTCCTCCAAAAGGGCTTGACCAATTTTTATGAAATTTTATATGTAAATTTTATATTCAATAGGTCTGGGAATCGGCTAGTATCTATTTTTCATACCCCTAAGTGATAAGAGTTGTCCACCCTTAACATTGTTTTTTTGTTATTGCAGATTTTTTTTAGTTTTAGTTATTAATAAATACATATAAACCTAAATTTCCACCCTTATAACTAACCCCCTATTTTTTAATAGCGACTTTAATTTATATGGTGAAATATCGATTGCGGGGTCAGCTAGCACATGTTTAAGTTTGTTATTTTATATAGAACTGTTATCAAGAATAAATACAATACACATAGAATGATGTGAGTTAAATATTTTATTATAAGAGCCAATTCATACCATCGTTATTACAAATAAAGTATTAAATAAATGTAATTTAATTCACGATTGTAAATTTCTTCTACAACATAGCTACATATCAGCTAATTTACTTTGCATAATTCTGAGTATCTTATCTAAGCTTTACGATGGTATTCCTGGTCTTTAAATTGAAATGCGACATAATTCCCAACACTACCATAAAACTGAATAATAAAAATAGATATAAAAGCATATTCTAGATTTCTGTAAGTATACATTTATAGAGTATAAAATATTTTATACTTTGTATTAAAAACATTTATAGGCTGAACTATTACGATTCGATATTAGAAATATTTCATTTTTAATACTAAATATTACCTCTCTCGTCATATGATACTAATAAAGCTAATTTTCACAGTGGCTTATCTTAAAGAAAAACTTAGCAAAGTAAATTTTTTTAAATTAAAATAAATAAGATATGAAATAGTTTTTTTTATTAATGTTAATGGAGTGATATACGTCCTCTAATGATTTTGGCTGGTGGGGTATCAATGAAGGATGACATGAACTACCACCATGAACTAACTGACCTGACCTCATACATGACTCATGTTGGAGCATGGGTCCTGGTGGTAAATTCACAAAGAATCTATCACGATGTTAGCTTGTTTACCATTACAGTCACATTCATAATTTATACTGTCAATTTTTTTATTTGATTTAATATAATATATATAATAATAATAATAATATACTGGACAATCAACCCAGCGCTATCTAATCGATAAGCAGGGCTTGTGTTATGGGTACCAGAAATCTGATATAAATACTTAGATATTTTTATTTGTAAATACATATATATTATACATAGAAAACACTCAGATCGATAAAAACAAACATACAAATGTTTATGTCGTGCGAGAAATCGAACATGGGACTATCGAAAATAAAGCGGTGTGTTAATCCGCTAGACCACCGAGGCGATCGTTATGAATTAGTAAATATGTAACTTACCTATATAACATCCTCTCCTGTCGATCAGCCTCTACATAAATCCTATAGTACATAAACAACATAATCACACCAGGAATCCAAAAACTAACACTACTAGATATCACTGCGTACACTTTGTTCACTGTGAAACTGCACACTTTTGGGTACTTTTTCCTAAAGTCCAAATGATCATCCGTTGTGTACCAACCCATGAAGATGGGTAGGAAAGAAACCAATGCCGGACTACACCAGACGACAGCCAGCATGATTCCAAGCTTTCCTGTCGTCATAATCAAAGGGTAGTCCAAAGGTTGGACTATCGCATAATACCTGTCCACACTGATGCAACACAAATGCAGAATAGATGCCGTTGAGAAATACACGTCCAATGAATTCCAAACATCACACATGAAGTAGCCAAACAACCACTTCCCATTTGTAATTTCCACACTGAAGTTGAAGCACATCGCCCAAATAGCTACTAGCATATCAGCGAATGCCAGCGAAACTACAAAGTAATTCGTAATCACTCTAAGCTTTCTATGTCGCATTACGGAAACTATAACCAATAAATTGCCAAATATAGCAGCTAGAATGATGAACAGCATTACAACGCATTTTAGAACAACCAGGAACACAACGATCGGATCGTCTTCGAACTGGTTGGCGTACACCAAATCACTGCTGGTCTCGTTCAGCTCCAGGGTCTTGTTGACGTAGGTGTCCGTAAGATACATGGATGTAGATAAATCTCGGAAGTCCAACGTGTAATTCTCGGCTGCTCCAATACTCAGCACGATTTGAACTTTCATGTTTCACATTCTGTCGACATGGGCATTTAAGTGAGGTTTATCTCTTTTGTCAGGATGAATGGGCTTGTCGTATGTAAATTTCGGATACAAGACGCCATTGTGCAGGATGGCCGCCACAATACCTGAAAAAAGGAAGTGTCTGTGAGATTTCTTTGTGATTTTTTCGCTCGGTTAAGTTCCCTTGAAAGGATTATTGCTATGAACACGTATTGTATTTTATCTGAAGGATGTTATATTCAAATACAGGAAATTATATTCTGGAGTATCGTTATCTTTATCTGGAATACATAAAGTCATTTATACATTATTTTATAAAGACAATTTTTATATTACAGTTGTTCATGTAATTTGATATTACCATATAATAATTTAGTTTCTTACTTATTAATCTAAATTTAATATTTATATACAAGTCTGTTATACTTTATCTATACATATAAATAAAATTGGAGTGTCTGATTGTAATATCGAAATAACCGTTTTTTATTACAGGCATACGAATATAAATACGGTACATACACCAAAATAACATTTTTTACAGTGTTTGTCTATCTGTCTGTCTGTCTGTTTGTTCCGCCTAGTCTCTGAAATGGCTGGACTGATTTTGATATTTTGAGACGATACATTTTTTTCGAAGATAGCTGATGTAATAAGGAGTAACTTAGGCTACTTTTATTTTAGAAAAGTTCCACGCAGACAAAGTCGCGGGTACAGCTAGTTAAAAATAAACTTTACAAAGCATAAAACAAAGTAGTCGTTTCTGTCTTTTCGCTTATATCTTAAAAATTACGCAACAGATTTTCATGCAGTTTCAGTTAATGTATAATACAAGCATCTTATAACATATAACAAGCCGAGAAATTCAAAGATTTATAATGCAACTAACCAAGCCGAGACGGTTCTCTAGTCAAATATAAATCATTAGGATTTAAAGGGTGTAATTACAGGGTAGAACTTAGTTATTAGAAATGGGAACGTATCAAATGTTTTATGCACATCGTAAAGCCATTTCTTGACGTTTGCAGACATGCAATGTTGAAATCAGTGGATCGTCAGTTTGTTTGCCACTTCAATTAAATAATAATACTTTAATTTCATATTCTCTAGTTAATTTTAATAATAATATAATAATAATCTCAAGACAATTCATATAGCGCCATCTAGACCCAAGTTAAGCTAACTAAAGCTTGTGTTATGGGTACTAGACAACTGATACAAATACATAGATATTTTTTTTTTCGTAAATACACACATATTATACATAGAAAACGCCCTGACCGACACAAACAATCATACTCATGAATACAAAATGTTTGTGCCGTGCGAGGAATAGAACCCGCGACCATTGTACGTGAAGCGGTGTGTTGTTGCCTTTACATGTATATAGTGTCAAATTTACCTGAATGAATCTGTTGTTATTTGTGAAAGCCTGTCAGTGGTTTGGTATGTCGTTTATATTGTCGTTTCAGGCGTCCATAGGCTACAGTAACCATTTACCATCTGATGGGCCGTATGCTTGTTTGCCGCCATAGTAGTATAAAAAAAACAAACAACAGAAAACGAAAACGATAAAAATATATAAAGCCAGTTAAAGTTAAATAATTTTGTCGATAAACAAGCATCTAATTTTTTTTGTAGTGTTTCAAGATTCTTTTGTACTAGCTATTCTGGCTTCGCCCGGGTGTACTGTATTATACATATAAACCTTCCTCTAGAATCACTCTACTATTAAAAAAAACAGCTTCAGAATCCGTTGCGTAGTTTTAAAGATTTAAGCATACATAGGGACGGACACATAGCGACAGCGACTTTGTTTTATACTATGTATTGATACTTACTTTATAAAAAAACATAAATTAATGTTACAATGAACAATGGCCGGCCTTATCACAAAACAGTGTTTTCTTCCAGACATGCGTAGGAGGTATGATTTCTTTCAGACAACCTTACAATAGACAGAAGTGATTAAACTTGCGTCTAGTCGATGGTGTAACAAATTAGCACTACCAAGAAAACTAAATTTAATCTACCTATAACCTTCAAAATAGAACATTATGTTATAGCATGATAAGGTATATTTTTAATCGAATAAAAATGATTTAGTGTATATAGTTTTCTGTTTCGTTATAAGTTAATTTTTGTAGCCAAATTTTGATACACTTTTTATTAAAATGTTTGTTAAAGACTTAATATTAATAATTATTTTATATTTATTTTTTTGTATTTATCATGTGCGAATTATTGTGATGACAGGATTGGTGATGAGAGTAAACACACACAGTAGGGTTGGTTAATAAAGTGATGAATGAAAATAATATAGAAGCTTTGTAGACATTTACTATAGCAGAGTGCAGTGACAGAACTGATAATAAAACAATTGTATAAAAAGAACTCTCATATTTTAAATATAAATGAATGAATATAAAAACTGTCAGTGACTCTCATTGTAGGTCTAACAATTAACTTGTTACATCTTGAATTACCTTAGACTAGTTTTTTTTCTATATTTATTTAGGAGCTTAGCACAATAGTGAGCATGTTAGCTCCATGTTGATTTCTTAATCAATTACATTACATCTAAAATTTAAATTACTATACAGACAAATCTTACCTACTTTTATCTACAAATTTATAAATGACTACCGATTGTTTTGATACAGGTTCTGATAAAATACTCTGAAAGATTATTAAATTAATTTTGTTTAATTTTCTTTAGTAAGATTTGCCTTTCATTGTTGATGGAATGCGTCAAGAATGACACCATTCTTGACGCATTCCATCAACAAATGTTGAACATCACCATAGACTAGTTACTAAGACTATTTATATTAAACACTCCATGACTTACGTGACGTGAGATAAAGTGACTTATCTAAAGAAGAAAATAAACGTACACTGGAACAATGTATTATCCTACGTACTGAATTGCAATTACTATATCACATTATTAAATATATAAATATATGATTATTACAATAATATTCTCTTTCAATTCCGCATATAGATATGAATTATGTTTTATAATCTATACATATAAATAAAATTGGAGTGTCTGTTTATAATATTGAAATAACCATTTTTTACTACATGCATATAAATATAAATACGATACATACACCAAAACATTTTTTTTTACAATTTTTGTCTATCTGTTTGTTCTGGCTAATCTCTGAAATGGTTGGACCTATCTTGACGGGACTTTTTTTGGCAGGTAGCTGGTGTAATAAGGAGTAACTTAGGCCACATTTTATTTTAGAAAAATAAAGTTAACATCCACGCGTACGAAGTCGTGAGTACAGGTAGTATGGTATAAAAAAGGTGAATATTCCGAAGGACATATATAGTCCATTTTTATACTGACCACAAAATGGCCAGTAGTCAGTCCTTTAGTACCTATTTGTTTTCATTTTCAGCACATTTCCAGTGTTACGTTGCACTAAAAGCAAGGAGCGGAAAACATTTCCGTGAAGCGGATCCGCTGACTGAAACAAACCTTTATGGACCTTTTCCCTTTTCACTCGAACCTTTTATAAAAGAAAAATAGGTACTTTATATTTATATGAAAGTTTTTGCATTTGCGTGGGATAATATAAAAGGTATTTACCCTCATAATTAGTTGAATTTCGCGGCGTAACCCCTCTAAAACATAATACAATCTTCTTTTTATTCTTCTTATATATATAAAAACGAATCTCCCTAAATCTTGATAACTACTGGACAGATTTGGCTAATTTTAGTTTTGAAATAATTGTAGAACTCCAAAAAAGTAAAAACACAAATTGTTCTTACCTGACGAACAACAGAAATATATTGCGTAACTAAAATTGAAGAAACCTATAACATATCAGTTTATTCTAAGGCGGAACAGAGATCGCTGGGTCAGATAGCACAATATTATTATTATAGCCTTTATTCAAATCAACTTATACATTATTTTAAAATAAACATAAAAACTTTAAAAACGAAAAAAATATTCTAGTATTTAGCTCTTTTTAATTTCCGCAGATCTGTTTGACAGTCGGCAAATGCCTATAAAATAGTACAATAACATTTATCTAAACCTTCATATAGTACAGTTTGAAGCAGTCCTGACTCCGAAACCAATACTATTTACATATGTTACTCACACAGAGATTATTATGTAAATTTTAATTGGAATAGGAAACAAGGTGATAGACCACCAGAAGGTAAATGATCACCATCGCCAGCACCACATGAGCTACTACGGACATCACGTTATCATGTGATACCCGCTATACCACACATAGATGACCATTCCTGACGAGTATATCCTGCCTCGTATCCTGTTATTTCACTGCCTTATTTTAACGTTAAACAGAACAGCTTGCAAAGTAAGCTTTTTGACGATTAAATTAAGCTACCTATATCAGTTATCTGCATGAGTACTTACATCTGTTTAAAATTTCAGATTTTGCTGAGCTGAAGGAAAAATGCCACTACATATCCTATGTGGTTGTAGCCCATTCATAAACGAAATATCTCCTTTGGAAAATATACACTCCATCCTGATTAGATAAAAACCATCGCTCCTAAGAATCCTTCAATTTATGTCCTGACGGATCGAGTTCGCGAACTTTGAAAAAGGGCGAACATAATAGATCTATGCAGGTCGCAGTGCTACAGGTCCTAGCACCTAACAATAGAACCCACTGGAACCTAAGTGGCCCCGAACAGTGCGGTTTCAGAGGAGTTTCCTCCCGCGTACACTTAGATTGTGAAATGAACTTCCTGCCGAGGTTTTCTCACGAGACTACAGCATGGGGTTTTTCAAGAAGGGTATATTAAGGTTTCTTAAGGGTCGGCAACGCGCAAGTGATACCCCTGGTGTTTCAGGCGTTCATAGGCTACGGTAACCATTTACCATCAGATAGGCCGTATACTTGATTGCCACCATCGTAGTATAACAAACAAAAAAATAGCCCAATACCCTCAATAAATAAATAAAGTACTCATGCACTTTTTACAAAGTCTATCTCGGA